TTCCCCATGCCAGAATTMAAGAAAAATCTCATTGTGGCTCGGTTTTGCAGTTTTGTTTTGTGTATATATATATATATAAATATTCAAAGTCTCAGGACCAGTAATTTGATTTCTGAAAAACAGAAAGCCAGACTAGCTTGGGGTCAGGAGGACTCCGGTGTGGTCTGGGGGCAAGAGACCTGGCAAGCCGATGTTGGGTAGGCTCAGGATGGGCAGAGCCTCTCCATCCAGGCTGCCTTGCCCATGTCTGCCTGCACAGTCATGGAAAGGAGCTACCCCAGACGCTCCTCTGAACTGGGCCCTGTGCTATCCTGCCCCACTTCCATCCTCAGCTCCAGCAAAGCAGATTTCAGACTCTTTCAGCCAGACCAGTTGCTCTGCACCAGCTGCTTCTGAGCCTCTGCAGAGCCCAGCTGTTTGTGTCTCTTCCTGGGTTTAGSTGTAATAGCCATAAAAATGGAACTGAATGGGTTTGGGGTTGGTTTTTTTTCRCTTGCAAATTTTCCCGAAATTACAAGGTGAGAGCATGTTTTGCCATAAGAGTTTTTAGTTGCAGAGTGATCAGCACATAGGACTATTTTGGAAAAGAAACAAAAATAGCAGGGGGAACTGAGTTTTGACTCATGGATGATATTTGAAAATTAGTGTTTACCAATGCTTGGTTCYCTGGCTGGTGGTTGGTTATTAAAAGTGACTGTGCACAACCATGGCATTTAAACTGAGCTGGGCCACTGCACAGGGCAGGGTGGCCTGAGCTTCTGGCTCTCCATGCATCAAGTGCTCTGCTTCAGCCAGGAGTGTGGGCTCTAGTGGCAACCGCTCCTTGAAGGTTAGAAATGCATTTTGCAAATTTTGAACTTTGGAATAATAGGAAGCTCATTAAACCTTTACTTATGTATTTGCAGTTYAACAGCATCCTTTGAGTTTTGCCTGAACCTGATGGTGCTTGACTAATGCAAAAGAGTTGTCACTGTAGCAGTGTGTGAAGGCTCGTGGAGAAAGGAAATATTGCTTTTATATGGCCAATATCACCACCAGAGAGCAGACAGACTTTGTCCCCCATCAACAGCATCAGAACCCACCCTCTGTGTGGCGAGCTGCAGCTTCTGCTGCTGCTCATCCAAGAGCTCATAGGTCTGAGAGCAGTTCTGCTGCTTTTTTAGTATTTATTTATTGTGACCTCTGAGGATACTGGTGTGCAGTTGACATTTCTGAGCCTCAGCCTGAACTCAGTTAAATTAAAGTCCAAATTGCGGAGCCCAGGAGCCTGGCAGGTGGTGGCGGGGGTGGATGTTTCTTGTATCTCCACAAAAAACAGATGTTTTCAAGGCAATTGCAGAGATGTCGTGGCAAGAAAGAAACAGAACTGAGAATCACCGACCTCACGTTAGTGTATTTATAGTGAAAAGCAGCAGGTGTTTCCTTGCTGCCACAGGGGTCAGTCGCCACATGGCCTGGGCTGTGTCCGCAGGCACCACTGTCCTGTGCAGGAGGAGGCGATGCTGGAGCTCTGACCCTGCGAGCTGAGGCACTGCCTCACCCCGTCACTGGTGGGGCTGACCCGGGGCCTCCCCTTTCCTGCTGGGACTGACTRTGGGTCATCCTTCACTTAGAAAGAGAGCTCACCGGGAAGAGTTTGTCCCTTTTGCAGCCCCGTTGAACAGGGCTGCCGGGGCGAGGCGCTGCGGGCCCGCCGGGCCTGGGTGCCGCTGACAGGGAGCCCTTGGCCGGGGTTTCGGAGGCTGTCGGCACTGGACAGGCTGGAAGCTCCTGGGATGCGGCCCCATGTCGCGGGAGGAGATTCCAGCCTGCTCGCTCCCTGAGGGAGCATCCCTGAGCACCGGGCACGGTTTGGCCACGTTTTCTATCCTGACATCGCTGCTGGGGAGAGCCCTGAGGGGATCCCCGGGGCGGCACCGGCAGCACCAAAGCGGGGCTGCTGCTCGGCTGCTGAGCACTGACGCTGCCAGCTTCTACTTGTTATCTATTTCTCTCCCTCTCTCTCTCTGTCTCTCCCCTCTCCTGCTTTTCTCTCCCCTCTCTGTTTCCTGCAAAATGGTTTCATTGCTTCTCGGTTTAATGGCAGCGGTGTCACAGCGCCCCAGCAGAGCCTGCCCCTCTCCCGGGCGCAGCTATACCGCCAGGAGACAATGCCAAGACGGGAAAAGCACGGAAAAAGTGTTTCAGAAAAGGCAAAACACTGGAATGGTCTCAGCAGATGTTAATTTCTTTCCCCTTTTTCTGCCGCTTTAACTTTTCAGGGCAGAGACACTAATGAGCTGTGGTGGAAGTGAAGTAAATAATCACGTACGCCAGAGACAGCGYACTGATTTTTAAGTCTCCTCTCACTAATTAGTGACAGCCTTTGTAGGGACAGACTGCAGCATTTAAACCTCTGACTGCAGGAAAGGCAAAGCAACGTAGAAGGRGGAAAAAGAAAATGCCTTTGCTTGCTTTTTGACTTTCATCATRTTTTTACTAGAATCATATTGGGATAGCTTAAAAAAGCTGCTTTTAAAATACATCTATTAGTGTATCGTTATTTTTAGTAACTTAAAAAAAATTCCAGTTTTCTGCTCAGTTCAAACAACCCGTATAAAATGTAGGTACACGTCAGTGACTGCATGGGAAAAAGGTGTATCACGATTTGATAATTCTTGTAATTCTGCTACATAATTGAGCAAGAACCAGTGTAAGTACTGATGAGTCTTGCTGAGGTGCCTAAAGCTCAAGGCACATCTGTTCTTACAGTGCCTGCACCCCTCACAGSTACAGCAAAGAGCATTCCTGAAGCGGTTAGAAGTTTCACTTGGGCACACTTCCAAATTTTTGCTACATGAGGTTTCCCTTTGCTAATAGAAAGATMATTAATACACCTTGTGGTTTCTTCCTCTCAAAAAAAAAAGAATTTTAAAATATAGATATGCACTAAATATGATTCTCCATTTTCATGTGATTATGCTACTCTGTATTTATAACCTAATTGTTGCAAAGACACATGCCTACCTAACAGAAAAAAAATTGGAAAAGTTACCAAAACGGTATGCTGGCAGCCAATGAGTTATACCTGTTCAAAGACCATCAAGAAGACTTTATGTAAGAGAATGTGCAGGTCAGTATAGTCCTGGAATGAGTTCATAATATGGCTGAAGAACGAATTGAGAGACAAATAGCAGAGCACTTGCTAGTTCTGATCAGAAAATTTTATTCTCTTAAGGCAGAYAAGGGGTGCTGTTTCCAGATTTTTTAAAAATTAATGACAAAAACCAGAGTGTGAGAAGAATTGTTCATATGCATTTCTACTTGAATGACTAATAGAAAAATATRGCTGTCACTGTCTTTCCTTCATTCACTGAGACTCATTATTTTCCCTTACTACATTCTCATGTCTGGTATCTAAAGTGTTCATTATAAAATGGATTATTTGTCTTGCTTGCTGCTGTTAGTAAGTGTTAGTAAAGACACTTTTGGGGATTAAGCCACATCTAAAAGATCTCATTCTCACTCTTTCCTTACGTGTCTCAGTTTCGCCCCAAACTGGTGCATAAAGAAGTAATAGGGTAATTGTATGGGACACTAGAGGCAGTATGAGATTTCAGAGTAAGTGGAATGCCAGGATATAATAACAAAGTGCATTAAATCAGGCTGTGAGCTTGTTTACAGTGGGATTGACCAAGACCTGCTTGTAAAAGAAATGAGGTTAAAGTTAATGAGCAGATGAATCTGCGTATGTAATTTGTCAGARCAAGCAACGAATAAAGAAGAATTACTCTAATTAAAGTCAGTAGCACAGGAGGRGAAGGATACATTAAAAAAMCCMCAAGAGTATCCAGTCAAGCATTCARCTCTCTGCATATGTCCAATCTCCTTCTCTTTAGGTTTAAACTCCAGCACCCTTTAGCTGCACTGAGGAACATGGGGTTGATTGCCTGCCCCAGCTCTGGTGTTCAGTCACACCACACCACACCACACCACATGCTTGTTTCCCATGAGCAAACAGGCTTTTCTCTGAAGTGAGGGTTATCTGTTTTCAGGTACTGGATGTTATTGTAAGAAGGCAAGAAACTACACCTGATAGAGCTTGTCCTCTTATGTGATCAGCTTCCACTGGTTTTCAAACAKCTCCACTAAAACCAAAGTGGACACGAAGTCATGGATTTGTTTTTTCCTCTTTCCTTTTAGTTTGCCAGTACAGAGATTTCTGGGAACAGGTTTCCTTGCAGTACAGGTTTCAATGGTGCTGTTCCTGCCCTTGGTGGCAGATACCAGCTGGGGAGGGGATGCCAGTCCCTGAGCACTTCTAACAAGAAGCACCAACACAAGATCTTCTTTAAATATTTTTTTTTGCAGTACTAAAAAGTATTTGGTGAATGAGCAGCAGGGTCCCCGTGCTCTGTGTGAGTGAGTGCTGTATTGTTAAGCAGCCCCTGTGGGTTACCACCATGACACAATTTTCCAGTTTTCTCTCCCACCAYGTATAAACCAACAGTGGCCAGTTGAGTCAGGTTTGCAATGACTCCTGAGTCTCCTTTCACTGCTGTTTTTTTTTGTTCTTTGCCCTCCCTGTAATACTGAGTACATGAACCAATTCAGTCTATGGATCAGTGTTATCCTGAGTMTGGAGAGGTAAGGAATGACCTCAGGGACAGTGCTTCTTACAGGACACCTTCTGTCTCTGGGGGAGGCCGTAGGAACACCCATAAGAAGACAAACAGGGCAAGGGAAAAGGGCTCAAGCACTACGAAACACAGCACAAGTGGGAATGCAACTGTGTCAATAACACCTACAAAAACAGGATTTTGCATCATCCTGAAGGAATTAAATGCCACAAAAGCTGCACAGAAAAGCTCCTACTTGAAAATTCAATGATGAGAAAGTAGATTATTAACAAAGCACAGTTTTAATAAAAATGTTTAAGGCTTACATTTCAAAATTACTTACAAATAAACTTAATCACAATGCATATATTCTTTTCTTTTAAAAAAACAATATAGCACAGTTTTAATAAAAATGTTTAAGGCTTACATTTCAAAATTACTTACAAATAAACTTAATCACAATGCATAAATTCTTTTCTTTAAAAAAACAATATTCATTCTAAGATAATAGATATTTTCTGAGTTATAAAATCTGATATAAATAGCAAATTCTTCTCAGTACACATTATAAGAATACATAAAAACTGGGATGCATATCTGAAAGGAATCCTGAGTATGCACTCCACAACTGGCAGAAAATAATAGAACAATGCTAGAATTGGACACAAGAAATGCTGTTATCCCAATATAAAATTTTCTCAAAAAAAAAAAAAAAAAAAAAAAAAACCACAAAAAACTGAGAACTCTTTGGTTGCTCAACCTTGTTCATCTCCATAGACTCAGGAATGGCTCTGGATACTCTACTCCTTGAGATTTTGGGAACACCTTGTGGATTCTTCCGGTATCCAAAGAAAGGAGAATGACATTTGTCTTCAGCTGGACAGAAATAAGGCACTTCCTTAGAGCAGGGAAGCCCACAGCAGTGTGGGCTGTAAGCAGCAGCTTGGATTTACAGCCAGAGAGCAGCAAAAGATGTCTCTTGAATGACAATGTGTGGAAACAAATTTGGAAGAAGCAGCCAATTCTTACATTCCTCAAGGTTCCCTTGATTCTCTCCCAAAATAACAATATAAATTCAAACAAGAATGAGTTAATGGAAACTTTGCATGTTAGAAAAATCAAAGTGGAAGTGCCCTTTTTTTTGACTGAGGTAAGCAAACAAGCAAGTTGGACTAAGAGCAAGTCGTAGCAGCATTTAGATCAGGGCATTCACCCTGTGCTTTTTTTTCTCTCTTCCAAGAGAGCTGTACAAGAGATCTACATGACTGGCAGCGTTCCCAGTGGTGTGACTGCATCTCCTAGGAGCAGGCAGACTGCAGCACTGCAAGAGGACACCCCACATGTGGAAGCCTCTCGGTGTGTTTAATTCAGAGCTATTTTGTTATTGTAGCACAATGGGGTGTTTCCCGGTCATAATGAAAAAATAGTCAATTATTCATGAAAGAAATACAGACAATTCTGCCTGTTGTTTTCAAAGAGCARTGTAGTCATTATGTATTCTTTTAAACACTGCTGTTAGATAAAAKACGATGTTTTTTCATAGGGTCATGAACCCTGACATTACTAAACTATGAATCRTAAGAGCAAACTCATACATGCAAACTGCAGTAAACACACAGAGGCTTAAATTTTGCTTCTTATTAGAGCATCAGCTCAGTAGAGATAATGAAGTAAATTAGAGCCACTTATAATCTCCTGGCTTATTCCCAGTTTAACTGGGATCAAAAATTGGATGAACAATGTTATACTGAAGTTGAGCCATAGYTGCAGAGAGCAGAACTTCACAGGTAAACAACAGATGCATAATAACATTTTAGAATAAGAAATTCTCAACAGTTTTCTGTCCTTTTAAATATTACAAATAACTTCCTTCTTCTTAGTATCCTACCAGTACTCATGGTAATTTTCTTTCTGATTTAGTTTAAAAACAACAAGAAGTTGTAAATATTGCACAGCATGTTAGGATGGAAGACTAGAAAAGAAAATGGCACTTGCACGGTGACTTTTCAGTYCAAAGAAAAGCTCTTCATTTTTTCTGCTAATTCCTGTCTCATTTCTATGTGTTTTTTCAGGTTTTGCACTTCATGGGGCAGGTTAATGTCCCACACTGATACGCAGGATTGTAACTCTAGGGAAAAATAAGAAAATTTGAAAATTGCAACAAAGATGAATTATTGCATAATTATAAATGGTTTTGCTAATCTGCTTATTTTCAATTACTCATAAATTCGCCCAATGAAACACGATCCTTAGGACCCAGAAGACAAGTTACATTCCACTTCACGTGTGAGGTGATGCAGTTATGGGGTACAAGTTGTTTGTACTTGCACAATGATTTGGATTCCAGTTCCTAAATTTAGAGTATCCCATTTAAAAGCACTTAAAAACCATTTCCGGTGCCTGTGGGCCATGAAGTACTGACCTGAGCTAAAGCTAACGCTAATACTGAGGTGACTGCTGAAATTTCATCTCTGTCTTCCCAAGCAGATATACCCTAAATGCTTTTGAGACTCGAAACCCATTCAATGTAAAATAAAAATTGATTTTATAAGCTAGTGAATATACTGAGAAAAGGTCACTTCTTCAATCTCCATTCATGCAATCACCTCTTTATCATTGAAGAATTTCCACTGTTTTTAGAGGAATAGGGACAATTAAGAACTTGCATGAGTTGGGGCTCACAAAAGAAGGCCCCAAGGATTTTGGAGTATCTGATTCCTCTCTATAATTAATGGCACTCTTAAATAAAATAAAAATGCTAAAAAGATAATAYATGTTCTTATGGCAACAGGAATTGGGGAATACCATAATATAAACCCCAGTGTTCTAAAGTTTACTCATTTCAGTCAGCTCATCTACATTTGCCCTCTTTAACTTTATACTATCATTGCCATATTTCTAGAAGTCACTGAAACTGGGATGAGATAAAGGTGAAGAAGGGCATTAATCAAAGTATCAACTGTAACTGTTAGAAAAATCCATAGATGAAGATTTTCTGTCTTCCAGTACTTTRCTATTCTAATTATCAGGAAGCTTTTACTGATGTCTGCCCCTTGCTATAACAGAAACTGGTTAGTACTTATCCTACCAACAGGGAATATGTTGAAGTCTTTATTCTCTTCCTTTTCATTTACATATTTGAAGCCTGTTATCATGTCCTTTGTTATTTACATTAACCAATTTAACATCCTGCAACATTTCCCCACAGGTTGCATTTCTCTCCTCTGGACTATTAGGAATCATTCAGCAATATTCCAAATGGTTAGCCTCCTCCAGCAAAGGCCACATTGGCACAGAGCAGAGTGTAAGAATTAGCTCATGTCTTACWGACATCACTTTCATGGCATGAGAGTGGCATTTGCCTCTTCTGCACCCATGTGCCATTGCTGCCTCATAAGCAGCCTCCAATCGATTCTGACCCTTTCTCTGCAGCACTGCTGTTTAAGCTGATCATTTCCTCATGCTGGTACAATGGATCATTCCTATACAGATAAAAGCTCTTGAATTTGTCCTTACAGAATTGTATCCTATTTCCTTCCAGACCATTTGTTCTATTTGTCAGGGTCACTTTGAATTCTAATCCTGCCCTCCAGTAAGCCTGTCTTAGCTGTGATTTGTCTACAAATCTGAAGAGCACATWCACTGTTCTTTCATCCACATCACTCATGAAAACATTGAGGATTCCTGACCTAGCACAGACACCTCTGGAAATCCATTTGATACATTCTCTAATTAGACAATGACATTTACTCTCCAAATACAAGTYCCCAACAAGCTGTATTTTATTCTTCAAACAGTGTCCTCCTCAGATCCACTTTTGGAAGTTACTTTTAGTTTGTCTGAATGCAAATATGGAAAAGAAAAAAACTATTTAATAACAGTGTTTCAATAAAATTATGTCAAATGATGGTCATCAACTCTTCACTCTCAGTGAGTAGTCAAGCACAATAATGTCTATTCCACTAATAATACAAATTCATAAAACATTGTTCAGGTACCTTTGTGATATTTGTTGTCTTCGGTGTCACTTTTATAGCAATATCCCAAAACAAGGACCACATTCTTGAGATTCCCTTTTTCAAAGAAATAAAATGTTAATTTTAATGTGACTTTTATAACTYAGGGACAGAAAGAGTAAATGACAGCAAGGCACTAAGAGGACAGAAAGCAGAGTTCAATCAAACGGACCCTTTATTCAAAATCATTAACCATGAAAAGCTCAGACATTAAGACAATGTAGGTCACWTCTCCATTTAATGTCAGGGTTTCTCAGGGTTCCAAGGCACAAGCACGGGATCAGCCAACCAGCCTGCTGAACAAGCCCAAGAACAAAGCACCCTATTATATAGCACAGGCAGAGGTGGTAGAGTCACAGCAAACAGATGTCACAGCAAAAGGGCAGGCTGCAAGTGAGGTCCCAGTGCACGGCAGAACACACTAGTAACCGGTTCAGTTACGAAAAAGACAAATCAAATAGATATGACAAAAACTGAGTAAAAATTATGAACGAAAAGTTTTAAAATCATGATGGCATGTGGGTGGGAAGTGGAAATAGGGGATACATCATAAGAAGGTGCCTACTGAATAAGGGAAAAAAAAGACCAGGAAGACAGGAGTGGTTGGATCACAAAGGCATAAACGGAATGTGCCAGTRTTTCGAAATCAACTTCCTGCTTATTTCCAACAAGACATGTCTATAAATGTATTGCAAAGATAGACAGAAGCTGTCATGTTCTCCTGCCACAGCAGCTCCCTGTTCCTAYTGGCAGCACAATGAGGGTGGAGAATCCTTGGCTTTAAGCTGGCAGAGGAACACAGGACCCAGCCTATATCCCTGGGTCACAGATGAGGCCAAGGAAGGAACAGCCCCCACTGTGCAGACACCCCAGCTGCARCACTGCACCTCACATCGCTTCATACATGGAGTCTTACAGCCCCAGGGAAAAGAGRAGGAGAGGAGCAGTTTCTGGGGTATAAATAAACTGCAGTATGGCTGCAATTTGGAAGTTCTTCTAGTGGGCCCCCAGTATCTCTGCAAGATAGAGAGACGTTTTTCCTGCCCCAAGGAGGTCAGCATTGTGTTTTTCTCTGAGAGTGATGTAAATCTGGTTATGGTAGRTGAGGCTTCCCACACACATCCTCCATACTCAGATTTTTCATCACTTCTAATTTTTTTCTGCAGCCAGTCCTACTCATACTCCTTACAAAAGTGATTGGAACTTAAGTATAATGTTTCTTATTTAGACTTGGGTCCTGTCTTACTATATTGAAATCTAAATTTGCACTTGCAAAATGAACTACAGATTTACATCYAAATTATTCTCTATGGTAAGTCTCATGTCTATTAAACATCAACCTGTTAGATGACAGAATTGGAAAATTACATTGTATTTCCATATTCATATATGAAGTAAAGATAAAATTAACATCTCAAAGTCTGGCAATCTCTTTTTTTGTGAAATATTTACCTGTGATTGATATTATGTTTTAACYTTAAATAAAACTTTCATACAAAAATATTTCCCTCTATCTTCTCTTATTTCACATAAGAAATGTRGTACTGTTGAAGAACTGCTCAGCAGCCTCAGTGCTGTTTTCATGGATTCCAGCAGAAACCAAGTCCTTGAATTTGGGAAAAAAACCCCAGCCCTTATAAATAATTGCTGTGAAAAGATGATCAAAAGAAAAAAGTACACATCAAACTGCATATATCAATCTTATTTGCYGCTCTTGAGATTTGTGCAAATGCAGCTAAACTCTTTCTCCATAATATTAATTATTCTATAAATAAAATTTTGATTAAAAATGTTGAGGTGACTGAGCCTCAAGGCTTTTTGAATTACACTATTCTCTACAATACATTTTCCCTATCAATGACAGCAGTAAGGCAAAAATTATGATGTTTTCATAGCAACTATTCTTTACAAAATGCTAAAAATAAAATGTCCCTTTATAATACTAACATTTTAACTATCAGGACTAGATGGATGGAAAATGCTGTGCTATATCTGGCATAATTAACAGCTGAGGATTGAACAGACTGTACACACTTGCTGTTTCAGGCAAAGGC